CGCTCTATAGTCCCTTCTCCGCTCTGCTTTACTACTTCTCTAGTACTAGCGCTCTTATCCGGGCTCTTATCGTTAGGAGCTTAGTACGTATATTACTCTGCCTATAGACTACTCTTTACCTCGATGTCGTCGTCGTAAACCGAGAATACGTTATAGGAGGCTGATTTGTAAGCTGAATATATTGAATTGAATTTGAATATTCAATTTAGTTTCTGAATTGAATTTGAATTTGGCCGAGTTGAATTGAATATTCAGGATTCAAAATCTATGTTCAGAAAAGCACGATCGCGCTCATGGGCGTTCGCGTGAAGTTTCGAATTCCGGCAGAGCGTTTATGACTGGGTTTTGGAGTGACTTGCTGCCTTCGATCTCATCTAATTACGGCGAACAAGCGTTTAAGTCTCCGCTGATGGGAATGCAGGAGAGGTGGTGTGCTATTAGACAGCAAGGGAAGATGGGACTAGACCAATGGATCACTAATCCTTGGCACTGGAAAATAACCTTTTGCTGTACACATGGCGAGCCCAAATGCTTCGATCTCGTGCTTCGGAGATCGCTGCGGTCGATGACAACTGGATGTTGATATTTGATGTTCTGGCCGTCGGAGGCTGGCTTTGGCAAGTGGTACAGGACAACAAAGTGCAGATGGCCGCTTCCCAAAAAACGCCCCACGCCGTCAAACGCCGTGATTCCACCGATGGGCGATGGCGACATCGCAGACATTTTCGTTGAGCCATTTCACAACGAGAAAAGCCGAAAGGCATATAATGAATGCAAGTTTGTGCGACGTATGATTTCATGACTTGACAGTGATTTCTGGATTTTTCTTTTCGCCATGCATTCACATCACCAGGATGTCGAAGATGTGCATGTTGCCAAGAGCTGTTCTTCTCATAGCGACAAATATGGATCGACCGAGGAGCTCAATGTCGGTGGCCGGGGAGCCACGCAGCGACGATTGCGGAATTATCAAGTTACCATGATCGGTTTCTGCAGGTAACGAGATCTCTTGATTGCGTTCTCCACATTTCCTTTGCTGAGACCGCAGATAGTGGAATCGGTACAGGTCTCTTCGTAGGAACTGGCAGTGCATATGCGACATCTGGGCCGGCTGGATTACTACTGGCATATATCATCGTTGGAGCTGTCCTTTGGTGTGTTATGCAGAGTATTGCAGAATTGGCGACCGTTGTACGTGAACACTCCCATCTGCTCGAAATAGGCACGCAATACTGATTGTCGATAGTTCCCCACTGCTGGATCTTTCCCACATTGGGCAACGCGCTTCATCGATCCTAGTGTTGGCTTCAGTCTCGCTATCTCGTATGGCTACTGCTACACCATATCCGTTGCAGCAGAAGCTTCCGCGTCGGCTATTATCGTCAGCTACTGGACCGATCTCTCCCAAGCAGTGGTGATCACTGTCTCTCTGGTTCTCATCTTGATCATCAACTTGTTCAGCGTCCGCGTATTTGGGGAGACAGAAGTGATTGCAGGTACAATCAAAGTGCTTTGCTTCGTGGGCTTGATCTTTGTCTCCATTGTCATCACCGCAGGCGGAGGACCGAATGGAGGAGCGATTGGATTTCGATACTGGAACAACCCAGGCCCGTGGGTGGACTACAATGGCATCACTGGATCTACTGGCGCATTCCTGGGCTTGCTTTCTTCGTTCGTCAATGCATCATTCTCCTTCATCGGAGTGGAGACAGTGGTCATTACTGCTGCTGAGTCTATCGATCCTCACCGAGCTATTCCACGAGCCGCTGGACTGGTCACATATCGTATCGGCTTTTTCTACATTTTGGGCGCTCTTTTGATCGGCATGACTGTGGATCCTCGCAATCCTGATCTGGTCTCCGACACTGGGAATGCAGCTTCGTCGCCCTGGGTGATTGCGATCAAAGAAGCTGGAATTGTCGCCTTGCCTTCGATCGTGAACGCGTGTATTCTGATCTCCGCTTGGTCCGCTGGGAACTCATACTGCTGGGTCGGCTCGCGCATGATCGTAGCAATGACCACAGATCGTCAATTACCCCAGATCTTCGGCAAGACGAACAAGGATGGTGTGCCATACTACGCAGTCATCGCTGCGTGGCTGTTTGGTCCTCTTGCATACTTGAGTAAGTCATCTCATGCCGGTTCAGTCTTCGCAACTAACAATGTTTTACCCAGGTCTTGGCTCAGGCGGAGCGTCACAAGCCTTCACATGGCTCAGAAACTTGAGTACAGTAGCCGGTTTGATCGCGTGGGCAACTCTTTGCTTCGCATACATTCGATTCCACGCGGCCATGAAGGCACAAAATGTAGGGCGGGAGACCTTGCCTTGGAAGTCACCCTTCCAGCCGTTCACTGCTTGGTTCGGCTTTGTTGGCTCCACCATCATCACGCTCGTCTGCGGGTTCTCAGTTTTCTTGAAGGGAAATTGGTCAACGGCCGACTTCTTCGCCTCGTACATCGGGATCCCGATCTTCATTGTGCCAATCATTGTTTGGAAGCTGGTGCATAAAACACAGGTAAGTTTTGTGCCTGTTGTGTGCTGGCACTTGGCTGACAAAATTCAGTTCGCTCGTGCTCACACGATTGATCTCTTCTCTGGGCGTCTGAAAGAGCACGAGATCGTTCGGACGTCACCGAAGAAGACGGCATTCTCTTGGACTTACAATTGGCTCACATAAGTCGTTATGGCATTTCTTCTAATTTGATATTGAGCATTCGCACTAGATATCATGTCCGCATCCAGTGTGTCTCTCGCCCTCGACTTCTGGGAAGCCGAACAATTCGTGGTCTTCCATGGCACCAAGCATGGCGCGCTCCATGATTACAGGAGCGGGCACATCTCTGGTCGCCTTCTTTGGTCCCTTTGGAATGATCTTGTGCCCCTCCATGGCAAGCGTTGCCAGGACATGCGCAGCTGCTCGAGCATTGGTCGTCAATTGCGCTGGGTTTGCGTTGTCGTAAACGTCACACTCTTGGTGGTAGCAAGCGTCCTGGTCCACTCCAGTTCCGGTGTGCAGACCCCCGACTGGCTTGTTGAGCGTAGACATAAAGCTCGCATAGTCACTGCCACCAGTGAAAACTGCAGGGGTTACGTTGAAGCCTTGTGCTGTGAGGTGATCGACGAATAGCTTTTCGATGACATCTGAACCTGGCGCGCCAGCTGTCCCGTGAGTGCTTCCGTCGCCATCGAAGACGCCGTAGTAGCCTCGTGAGACCATGTCGAAGTTGAGGTATGTCTGCAGTAAAATTAGCCAGTGAAACAATTGCTTCAATAGAGAGCCAACTTACCACAAGGTTGTCGGCCTCTTTGGTGTTGTTTATTCCAGCAGTGTAGAATCTGCTTCCAACCAATCCGTTCTCCTCAGCTCCCCACCATGCCAGGCGGATCTTGTTACGGAAACCAGCACGCTGCAGACCATCGAAAATCTCAAGGAGCAGAGAGGAACCGCTTCCATCATCGTTGATGCCAGCACCGGCTTTGACGGAGTCCAAGTGAGCTCCCATCATAATCACGTTCCGAGGGTCACCGCCCTTCGATTCTGCGAAAACATTTTGAGTGATCCTCTCCTCAATGGTTTGGGTGTGCTGGAGGTAGCCTTCAAGCTCCTCTCCTGCTTCAAGACGTGCTTTGAGAGCCTCGCCATCGTCCTGGTTGATGAATCCGCTTGGTCGGAAGCCAACGGGATCTGGTCGAGAAAGAGTTCCGCCTGTAACTTTGGTAGGAACATTGTTGTACAAGATCACACTGTTTGCTCCAGCTGCCACAGCAGCACGGATTCGGCCTGCAATTGTAGAGCCATCTGGACAAGTTCCTCTTTGAACGAGCACCATCTTGTCTGTCACGTCCAAACCGCTATAGCCCTCTACAGTGCATGCAGTCGTGCCATTTGGACCGAGAACGAGCGGTGCGGTGAGACCTTCCGGACTTGTCGAAGGAGAATAAGTTGGTCCAAACACGTAATACTCGGTCTCGCCGATGCGGAATGTGATTGAAACGACATCGTTATACAGCGCTGGGAATTCCTGAGTCCATGATTTCCAGGAGCGAGACTTGCCGACTCTTGAGAGAACAAAATCTCTAGATGCATCGTAGCCGGGAAGGCCAAAGGCGCGGTTGCCACCATTTGCCTTGGCGATGTCATCTAGCTTCTGGAGGTTTTCCATCAAGCTGTTTTCGTGTGAGCGCCACCTTTGGTCTGAATGCTGAAGTGTGCTTACCCATTTGTGGTGATTGAGCGTTGCAGCTGCCTGGACAAGACCCTTGACGCTGCCGACTCCCATTTTGAACTTCCTTTCCTGGCCTCATCCTCTTGAGCACCAACCAACAGTGCCGTAGAAAAAGCGCGGGCGAGCAGAGAGAACTTCATGATGAATGATGCAACAGGAATAGAGACTTACACCTTGATGGGCGATCATACCTATATATACGCCCGCTACGGCCACAGCAGTCTATCGCCATTGCGTCTTGTGCCTTCCTGGAACAGGTCTTGTCGTCTTGTCAATCAAGCAAATACAGTGGCGTTTAGTGGCTCAGTGAAGACTTCCAAGCAAAGCCAAGACCTGCACAAATGCCACCTTCTGTTTTGGGCATCGCAGCGGAGCGACTATCAATTGTGCATGAGCATGTATATCGGTCATACGACGTTGTGCCTCGCTGTCTTAAGTGGATCTTTTGCAGCACTGGCTGGGGTGTTCCTCTGCGTTCGCGTGTAGCGAGCTGTTGGATAATCGAGCTGTCGAAGGCCGGGTTCACGTGTGCCATCCACGTTTCTTGAGGCTCGAGAGGTGACTTGTGGTACGATTCCAAGCAACCTCTGTCTCGAGCGAGCCGCCTACCATTGTCTCCATAGCCTATCCAGGCTGTTACTGCTGTCAGATGGCCCTGTGAAATAGCGGGCACTATGGTCGATGTGTGGGCTTCAGACGTCTGTCAATGTCTTTGAAGAATGGCAGAGCTTCTAAGAGGGTGTACAAGCGGTGGGAAGTGATGCGATGTCTCGACTCCTGCACTGTCAGGCCCGGACGGTGCTCATGTGGCATGAGATAGTCGGCGGAGGTGATGGTTTCGGAAAGTGGAGTTGACGAAGCGAGGACGCCGGGCTTGGCGAAAAGGCGGCTCGGCACGCTGTTTCCTTGTTCCGATCCACCATCTGCCACCTTCCGTCTTCCACGTTTCATAACCTCCACCTCATCCTTCTGGCCACGCATACATGTTACTGAGTGAGCGAGCTCGACACTTATATCGTCCTGCCGCACCCTCCAGAAGTTTCGAGGGCCTCGCAACGCACTAGGAGACTTGGCCATTCTCGCGCATAATCATCACAAGACGTGACTGTTCCACGACCTACACGCATTGCATGGATTGCATTGTCCATCAAAGCCGATCTACACCTTACACTGTGTACCTCAAAAGTATTCTACTGAAGGGGTCAGCACTTTTTGTGCTCAACCGAGTGTTCTCGTCACATGATCTGTTCACCGTTCACCTTTTGTCCACGATGTCCCCGACGAAGCAAGTTACTGGCTAAAAGCATCGACCTTCACGCGACATGCTCCACGTACTAGACTTATCTTCAGCTATGCTAATCAACCCCAGGTCGACCTGCCATACGTGACTCGAGATCACAAGTGGACACATGCGACAAGCTGAAAAGAAAAATGGCCGCTACTTTCCCTCACGTCCTACACCTCAGGTCTCCAGCCTGCGAGCTGCTTTGCAACGATGGAAGCTTGCCCATCCTGCCCGAACCAGCATTTGCAGAGTACAGAGCTCGGCCACCAAGGGACAGAGCTCTTCTGCACTCGTTCGGGACCGACTTTCACGTTGTGCTCTCTTCGAGCTCACATGAACAAGTCCTTTCCGAACTGCTGAATCTTGGACAATTATTCGATGCTATCAATGTGCTTTGCTACATTCCTGGAGAATCCGAGTTGCAGCATGTAGAAGGCAAACTGGCACTGGACGATTCGTACTGGAAACATGGCTTTCGGCTGGTCACGATGCAAGATGGCGTTGTTGTGAACACACAAGAATGGACACTGGCATTTGTGGAAGTCTTGGAACTCGAGGAGCCTCAATACAGGAATGTGCCCTGGATTGCGACATTTCTTCATCTGACCGAACGCAGGTCCGATATGGCGTGCTATCATGCCGAAGAACAGATGTTGACGGTTACTGATGCCGATCATGTCGAAGCAGGAATCGAGCAGTACGATTGGGACACAAATCCTTCCCGAACTGCTCATCAGTACTTACTGAACAAGTTCATCGACGACCATGGCTACCCACCATCGATGCTCTACGCAGTCGGGCTTCGCTGCCAACACTGGATATTGTGCACGTGGGAGGGTTTCGAGAAGACAGATCTGGAAGGCATTCTCGCCCTGTGCTGTCCAATATGCGACGTGCCGCTGCTTACCGACATCGAAATGCACGAGATTATGGCTTGTGACCAGAACACTAATAGCAGAAGAGCCTTTCTGGAGCTCAACTCTCAATGGTCTACGCTCAACAGCAGGCCGGCAGGCTCGGATGTCTTTCCTGTCTATCCGAAGGCTTTGTGCGCAGCTATCGAGCTCGCTCTGGCGTCTCTCAGCCCTCCATCCCTCATCCTACCAGCAGAGATGTCCATGGCAGCTACCGAGGAAACGGCGGAAGTCATGCGCCGCCTCCGAGGACTTTGCAGCGAACTAACATCTCCCTTGAGCACTTCGCCCTCAGACCTCGTCAGTGCCCTTGAACAGCAAATCTGGGAAACGCCCGTCTCTGGAGGCAAAACACTTGGACAAGTCTTCCTACGTCCGGGCTATGTTGAGTTTGTGCAAAAATGGTGCTGTCGTGCTGTCAATTTCCTAGTGCACTGCCGCTGTGACAAAGTCGGACCTCAGCACGTCGGCTTACATTTGCATGAAACTCGGCAAGTCTACAACCCTGCGGTTTGGATGACTGTTGATGAGTTGGGCTCTGGGCTTGACAAGCTTGCTCTTGGGAAGCCCGCTGTGGACGCTACTCATGATCACGACATGGACTTGTGAAGAGCTGACAATGATAGGGGTGAGGATCAGACCCCAGGTTGTAGGTAAGTTGTCAGTCACCGAGCTGGTCTCATTTTCATGTTTCTTCACTATCAGTTTGCTGTCGATAAAGGCCGGCGGCACTAACACCTTCACTGCCCTACGCCACCACGACTGGCCACCCATTACTAAAGTCCAGTTTGCTCCAGCCAAAGAAGAAATTATCGTAGTCGTACGACACACTCGGTCGCACATAGTGGTAGTACATTACCACGCTTCCGACTCTTGCGTCCCACATCACTCCCTGACCACCTGGAGCATAGACATCACCATGACTTCCCAACACCAAGGTACCACCACTTTGAGTCAAGCAATCTCTGCCGTCTTGGTCTACAAAGCCTCCGGATTGGTCTCTTGATCGACAGACCAAGATATGGTACTCCTCTCCCGCAGGTGGAAGGCTACCAGCCGCATCGCAACAATTACCAGCGGAGAAGAAAAGATAATGCCAGCCTTGCCAAAAGAACATGTATGCTCCCTCTTGAGCTCCAGTTGCGAGGCCTTGCGGGCGGGTAGTCGTATTTCTGGCAAGATGCTGAAGAGGTCCCGCGGCTTCGACTCGCAATGGAGGATTCTGAATCGGTAGTTGGAAAATATTCTCCCAAAAGGAACCAAAATTGAGCACGAGTCGATTGGAGTCATAAGCATAGAGGTTTGCGTCGATACGATTGTAGCTTGCAGATGCAGGAATTCCAATACTTCCTCGATCAGTCCAGTCGCCTGCGTCCAATGTTTGAGATGTAGCGACGCCAATATCAGAATTCATACTTCCGATTTCGGATACGGAGTAGTAGAGATAGTATGTTCCTCCGAAGTTGAAAACATCTGGTGCCCAGAGGTCTCGGTTTCCAGGTAGGTCGATTGAGGATCCGCCAGGTAAGGCTGCACCTTGAAATTCCCAGGGACCGGATATGCTTGGAGCTGTTGCGATGTTGATGCCATCGTTGGTGGCGAAGCGGTAGTAGGTTGATGTGTCTTCGCGGTAGATTACTGCTGGATCGTGGAGTCTTCCTTCACATTGTCCTGTGCATTCGCCCACGGGAGGATAGTCGCGCTTCAAGAGAGGTGTGGCTGTAGCGTAGCCTAGGAACAGCCCGGTTGCTGCTATTGATTTCAACACGACCATGATTTTCTGTCGACCACCCTGGAGTATGAAATGAGAGCAACGAGCTCAGACTTGTGAAATAATGCCACCCTTCGAAAAATTAAAGGGCACAACGGTGCGGATAGAATAGAGTTGGGAGGCAAATTATGTTGTGAAGCGAATACTTGGATGTTGCGTTTCGGTGTTCGAGTCAATAGAGTCAAATGCGAACGCTATACAATGTGCTTTCGAACACAACTTAAATATTTCAGCCCAGACTGCATGCTAAGAACTTACCATTACACATGCGGTGAAGAGAACAGCCAACAACCCACCGGTGACGATCTCTGGAGTAAGCGACGTCAAAATTCTTTCCGCTCCGCTATAACTTGGTCATGCTGTGAATGACAGCCTGTAGAATCATGTTTATGCACCAGATGACCTTGTCAGAAAATGTGGAGGAGAGACGCTTTAGGCGCCGGGTTTTGGTACATTGTTTTCTTGAGACAGTAGGTCAGCTGAGGCTGGGGTTGTCGTTTAAGGCGGCTTCGTTCTGTCTTCGTTGTCCACGTGGTGCAAATCGGAAGTGTTGCTGCAGAGTGATGTTCTCTCGGCATGCACGGTTGATGAGCAGGCATGATGCCGGAGGGAGATCTTGTGGTCGCTCCACGTCATACGCTGTTTGTTTGAAACGGTAACTGCAAGTCGTTGTGGCCAATGAGAGATGGATGTGAGGATGTGAAGTGTAAAAGGCGGAGAGGATGCAGGATGTAGAGGGAAGTGGAGACCGGATCCCGAACGAGCTTTTCCGGGATGTGAGGTGCGGTCGGGTGTGGGGAGGAGCCGGCCGTGGTCGCTTCCATTCATGTTGCACACGGGTATACAGGTCTACACTACCTCCTACATATGTATTTCGCTGACACAGCCCTCTGGTCTTGGGGCTGACTTCAACATCCCGCTGTAGGAAGATCGCCAGCGGTCACCCGAGACGATCTCTCTTTGCAGCCACTTCTGCATGTCCACGCCACAAACCACATGAAGACACCATTCCCTACAGGCTGCGCATGTCCTTCTCCTTCCGATACATCGCATCCACAACCTGGAATACCTCTTTCGCCATGGCTTGCATCTTGTCCTTCTCCGTACACCTCACAAAGCGATCAGGATGCCAGCGTGCCCTCTCCTCTTTCATCGAAGGCAGGTCGAGCGTTTTGAAAGCCTTTTCAATGTCGTCGATGCAAATGCCGAGCTGAGATCTTGACACTGATGTCGCGCATGGAATCTTGCGGCATGGCGACTGGGGCGGCGGTGGCGCCGGAAAAGTGGTCAACGTGCTGTAGTCAGCAAAGGCGAGCTTGGTCTGTTCGTGCCAGTCTCGATAGATCTCTGCCGGTGACTTCGGCGGAAGTGCTGGTAAGGGAGCGCGCTTTGGGTGACTTCGGACCGGGGTTGGGGGCTTGCGGTCGAATGTTTCCGGCCTGGGGCGCTCATCCTGTGGTGTCTTTGGTTGACAATGTCGGACGAGGAAGTCGTAAAATTGCTGCTGACTTGATCCAGGAGTGACATTTTTCTTCGGCTCTTCGACTGAGGATTGCCTGATCGGAGATTTTCGTGCTGATGGAGACGCCTCTTTCGCTCTGAAGTCTCGCTGCTGCTTCTCTGCTGCAGGCGACTTAATCGGCGAGGATCGTGGAGCTGGCGATGTCTCTTTCGCCCTCAGCTCTCTTTGCCTCTGCTCCGCTGCCTCCCTTCTTGCCCTCGCTTCACGCGCCAGCCTGAATGATCTCGAGTCGCGAGTATACTCATCGAGTGCTTGCTTCGCAGCGTCTCTCTCCCGTTCTAGATCTTCGAGCTCGCTCCTGGAGGTGATGACAAGTCCTGCGGCGATTTGAGATCTGTTCTCGGCCAGTTGCTTCGCAATCTTTGCGTCCCATAGTGCACTGCCTTGCACTTGGTTCTTCAGAAGATCGAAGAGGACTCCTCGTTGCTTATTGGCCTCTTCTAGACGGGCGTTGCTGGCTTCACAAGCCGCGTTATACTGCGCTTTGGCATAGCGAGCAGAGGTCTCGGCTCGCTTTAGCTTGGTTTGCAATTCGATCAGTTGCTCGTCGGCGGCGACAGTCTGCGCCATGGCCACCTTCAACTTGATCGGAGTCTTGGCCGAGTTGCTTGATGCCGGAGGATGAACTGAGGATGTTGCTGTCATGTTCGATTTGACAGCTGTTTCCGCCGCCTTTCCACGTCACTTGGCTTACTGGATATGCACGATTTTGCGGGGTCCGCCGTTTGCCCTTTCATTCACTTCATCCTGTCATGTGAAAGGCACGTGCAGCTACCCGTTCAGCGCGCCAGCAGGATTGCAAGTCCTTGAAATCGCTTGGGCAATTGCCAATCGAAGTGCTTACCCCAGTAAAATTCGCGCGTGCGTGCAAGGGTGTTTGGGCCGTCAGTCGTTTAGGCGAGCTTCGTGCAAGGGTGCCCGCGAGTCATGGCAAGATGGAAGAAAAGCGAGATGGTATGCGCAACAGGGCGACTCATCGACTACGACTATTTTCGGGAAGCCAATGATACACACACAGGAACCTGAGATCCAGCTCTTGGACCGATTTCGCATGAGCCTGCAAAGACGCCCTTCGCCCTAACACATTCCACAATGACCCATTGCGAAATGCAGTACCCGTCCTGGAATCGTGCTTCATTACGACTCACCGTGCGAAGATACAGCATGCGATGCTCCGTGTTCTAGGACCTTCAACGGCTGCTGCGGCCTTCCAAGAATTCCTCATAGCACCTCTTCGAACAGGTCTGCGACACCGTCGAGCTCTCGCTGTTCGTCGCCAAACCGTACCTCGTGCTTGCACCCGTCGCGTGTGTACGTGGTATCCATCCGACCTCCAAGCTCCCGCACTACAGCACTCCTCTTGAGCTTCTTGAGACACTTTGGACTGTACTTGTCGTGGTCTGGGTTGGCGTCCCAGAAGAAGAAATGCTTCAGCATCTCGCGATTCTGTTTCCCAATCACCTTCAACCACGAAGCGACGATGTCCATGTCACACTCGTAGCAATAGCCCGCTCGAAAGGTGTTGCACTTGAAGAACATGGGCAGGGCGTCACAGCGAATGCTTCGACAGACGCGTGTTAAAGCTGGCTGCCATGGAGGCTCGCGGTCGCCTTCTTCCCATGCTTCGCGCTCGGCGTAGTATGCCTCGGTCCATCCGCCGAATGAGCTGTCGCAGGGACAATTGACGAAGAGCGGTTCCGAATCGATGACGGCGTATTCCCAGATAATCAAGAGCAGCTCATCTGGAAGCCTGTCGAGGAGGCATGTCGCGGTGGGAGTGGAGGACGCGTCGGATTGTGCGGGTGCTGCCGTGAGCTCGTGCCGAGGTTGTTCTGGAGGTGTCGATGTTGCTGGCGGGACCAGGACTTTGGCGGCAATCTGGACGACATCAAGCGCGCTGTCTCGGCGTTCCATTGTGCTGTATGGAAGACTGAATGGAGATGCGCCAGCTTCCGGGCAAGTAGCACTCCAGCCTATATGCGATCCCGTCCAGGCACACGGCGGAGGCGGGTTGGTGGCGGCGTCAGCTGAGAGGCAGGCATCAGTCACTGCTCTTGGCCGATACCTCCGTAGGATCAAGCTCAAAGCTCCACTCCCATGCAACGACTCTCACAGAAGAGGCCGCCCCGTTCGGTGTTGGCGGGGAGATGCCATGACTGCATGCGCCCGTGACGAGCTGCTTCCATGGGCGGCCAGGTGGCACGACATGTCTCCTGCATCGATGTGACTCGAATCTGGGCACGCCATGTGTTTGCACTGCATGCATATGCAACAACGTCGACGCACGCGAGAATGGGTCTCGTATAACTCATATCGGCGGGAAGCTACGACATGCTACGACTCCCCGCTTCCACCTCACGACACTCTTTGCAGGACGTGGTCTACTTCCTTGGGGACCTTCGCAATGCTCGAAGACAGCGCGGCTCAATCGATCTGGCCCGTCTTGAGCAGTACAGCCTTTTCCGCATCCGTCTTCTTCAACTCATATTCGAGCTTGGCATGACCGCTCGGCTCGGAAGCAGTGAAGACAATCTCTTTCGCATGATCCTCGACTTCGAACGGGATCTCATTTGCGATATCCGAAGGCCCCCAGCCCCAGCCCGGCGCAGTGTCTGCATAGACGGACCCGGACTTGTCTTTGAGTGTCATTTCTTCCAGCACGCCTTCGCGGACTTTGAAGATCAACGAGTAACTGTTCAGTGTCAGTCTGCTTGTGCTTCCGACTCCGCGTAAGGCCTCAACTCACGATCCGGGATTCAAGGCACCGATGTACTGCTTGAGCGATCCAGATCGACTCGCTACTTGCGCTGGAACACTCGTTAGCAGGTGCTTGTGCCATGAGTCACTGGCCACTCTACCTGGCCAGGCCGCTACCATCGTGACCAGCACGAATGAGAACATGATATGCCTCAGTAAAGACTGCATGTTGAAGTACGAGAGTACTGCTGTTTGGAAATGAAAGAGCCTTGCGATGAAAGCTAATGGAACTAACTGTACCAACAGACATTCGGCCGGCCACTGCAATCTTTATATCTTTACTTGAACTCGTTGTAGCACATTCGGTTCCAGACTCTCCTCTTGCTCGGCGGAGATAATCGCTTGTGAGTTTGGTTCACCCGGTTTCAGCCAAGCCATGCACCTTCTTCTGCAACGGAACCCGCATGAAGCTTGGCTGTGCTCACACCCGAGTGCCAGGCTCTTTGTTTCCAGCACACACCCTTCTTGCTCAACAGCGCTCTCATTTGCTATGACGTCGACTTCTAGTCCTTTTTGCAAATGTTCTTCCCTCCTTTTCATGGCCGGTCATGCTCGGGTTCATGCTAGACTCCTAGATCGAAGTGCCAACTAGTCCTCCATCGAGAGCAATTTGCTCATTCGGGTCTCATCTCTCATTCCGCGCAGAAATGGCATCAATGGCGCTCCACCGACGCCTCTGAGCTCTTTCCGGCCGCCATCGGATTCGAGAGGCGAGGATTGGCTTGACGCCTTTCTGGCCGCTTCACGAGCTGGAATTACAATATACCGGCTTACGATCTGGATATGCTTATTCCTGAACACTTCCAGCTCTTTCAAACATGCATCGTATGCTGTTCGCAAATCACTTTCACCGGTATTGGCAATCACGAAATTTCGAATACTCGCTGATTCCTCCATGGCTGCCAGGAATCTTGCATGTGGTCCGGGCATGTAATCTCGCATTCGAGCGGCGAAGTCGCTGACGTGGTTGATTCCGAGAGCTATATCGAAGAATTGGAAGAGACTGGATTGTCCGGCATTTGCGCCAGCTAGGCGAAGATATGTTTTTCCATTATCGAAGCTGATGCCTTGCGGTAGTTGGTCGTCGATGCTGCCTGCTAGGTATGGTCGTAGTTTGGTGAACCAGATGTTGGGGTTTACTCGGTGATTTAGCTCTGCCAGGAGTGTTGTTAGGTCTTGGATTGTTTCTGTTACGAAGTGTAGCGCCGCTGTGACTGCTTCGATATCGCCGGACACTACTGCGTTTGTCGCGAGTAGAAGTTTCTCGATTGCTGGGCCAGCTTTGGCTTCCATTGCAGCGCATATCATGAGGAACCAACGCTCGTCTGGAGTATCAGTGAAGCTACGGCAGACTTGTAGGTTATCGAGACTGAAATCTTGGCTGTTGTTGTTGGAGACGAATTTGGTGTTCCATAAGATGAGCGCTGTGTAGGTGATCACGGGCGGCATTTCGACTTGTTCGCAGACGACCAGGTAGGGTGCACTGAGCGCTTGTGGAATGACATTTTGAGGTGTTTCTCCAGTCCAGATGTAAGCTGAGATGAGGTATGAGAGTATGCTGTATGCTCGACGCCAGTCTCCTTCCGTTTTTAGACGAGCTGTGGTCAAGGTCTCGAGATGACGGATGCGCTGTCTGATCGTGCCGGACTTGGTATGATCTGGAAGTCCATCGCTGAGATTTTCCCAGGGATCGTAGTGTGGGGGAAGTCGAGAAGATGCTGACACTTGCGGCAGGAAGCCCGTGTCGCTCGAGAGACCGTAGTCCTGTAACACCGGCAATCTGTTCATGTTGTCTTACTGTAAATTTGTGTATGCTGGGGATCAGCAAGCTCATACCCGATATCGAAATGTAGTTCATAGGGCGCGACTGAGCGATAAAGTCCTTGGCTTGGATGTGGCGTTCACAAGCCTCGCGTACAATGGCAGCGCTCGGCGCTACTCTCGTATACGATGACCTTCTCGCGCATGTATTCGAATGGATGGGTATGGCACTCATCAGCTCTGTACATATTTCTGTCGTGCAAAACTGTATATACTCATCCCGATACAGTCGATACCTCGAGCTGCTCTTTGCTCATATTTGTCACCCGGTATTTCGAGATGAAATCGTCACGATTGATATACCCACCACACATTCTTCGCTTTCCCGTGAATTCATTCCTGCCGTGCAGTACTCTCCAGTTGTCGAAAAGTAGCGTCTGGCCCGGTTTTAGTTGGAACCAGTGTTGATTGCTCTTATCACTCAAGAGTCGATCGAACTTCTCTGCAGCTGCATACCACTTCTCCACAATGTCGAAGTCTGCTGCGATTCCAGCTCTGTCGGCGTTGTTCCATCTGACCTGGTTCAAGAATCCTTCCTCGGAGTCATGATTTAGCACGGGCAAAGCCTGCGAAGGCTGGATAGTAATTCCTTCGTTTCCTGAGGCGTGAGCGTAGACGCCGACTTCGGAGAGAGTCAGATACGCTTCTCGATCTTCGACGAAGAGTTGTGTTGCTGCGTTGAAGCCGTCTGTGAGAGATGATTCGCCACCGGAGCCCTGGGTGTGGGAGAGCATATGCAATGCTTGGATTCCGGCTGGCTCGGTGAAGTAGGTATTGTCGGTATGGGGCTCTAAAAATTCGGAAGTGTAGGCAGTGTCTTTCATTGTCAGGTCAGAAGTAAAATCGTAGAAACCGCCTGGTTGACATTAGCATTGCCTCGGTGCCCTGTAAATCGCTTGATACACCCACCATAATGTGTATTGCGAATTGGACCAATCGAGTTCAGGAGAGATTCTGTTGCTTCTGGAGTTGCAGGCATTTCTTCAACGACACAGAAACCGAATGTGCGCTGCGTTCGAATCAGTGTGAGATCTCTACAGCCTCATGAAAGTCTCACAATTTTTTGGAGGAGCTCGCTCATGCCAGTGCCGTCCTTCACATCTGTATATTGAACAGCTGGGCGTGCTGATGCAATGTCTGCCGTCCACAGCTTTATGCTATAGATGCCGTAAGCATATGCAATCGGGACCAGCTGATGTCTCCACCTACGGAACCACGCCTGTTCTGCCTCTAGTGACATCCTTGCTCCTTCGATTCAGTAAAGCTTGAGCACTGTACGCACTCTGATGACCATCTGAGACTGAAAGAGGTCAGCCTTGAACGAATAAAGGAGTGTCAGTCCATACAAGTCACCGTGACTTGTCCGTTTTGAGAGTCTTGCAGATGGACATTGGAGATTGTCGTGTTGATATCGCCCTGGGACCTGTCAGCAGCGCTTTTGTCCTTCGATTCGAGTACATCACACCTTCAGCACGTTAATCTGCCTTTGCGCGGTATCTGTGTTGCGACATTGTGAACAAGCACAATTATCCCTGCTCAGTCAGAAATGGCGAAGGACTGTATACGGCACACCTACCTCAGCCACTGTCCTGGTCTTCAAAAATCAGTGAGTCGAAGCCATCAACAGCAAGCAAGAAGACCTACATTCGAATCGACCTATTCTCAATCTCATCATGAATTTTGAGCTCGCCACCTTCGTAACGTAGTGATCGAGATGTGGAAAATGCGGAGTCTTCAAACTTTGGCAGTGGATGCTTGATACTATCAGCAGCGGACGAACCGCCTGACACACCATTACTGACCCTAAGCGCATCAGAACTCAGGAAATGATCAGGCTTGGCAGTGGATTGCCATGCTCGTGGAGAGCCTCCTCGTCGATCGAATGGACCATCTTGGTCGACACGCTGAGGCTGCGAAGATGCTACAGTTGCATTAAAACGCTTGTTGCATGGGATGAAACGCTTCGTAGCAGCAAAGATGGGTTGAGCGTTGCTCGGGACCCGTTGTAGCTTGCCAGCGGCACTACCACCGAGGTGGTTCCTAGAGACGTATGAGTAAGCAGGAGAAGGGAGAAGTATGCACTAGTAGTAATAACAAACCATAGCGGGCTACGAAACATCGCATTAGCGACCGGCATGTAGGTGTGTAGGTAGGGGTAGCACAACGGACAGAGGCGGTCGAAGAGGCACGCTTAGCATGTGAAGAGGGGTGGAGCACCAGGACTTTTGGCAGATCAGATTGACTTGATTAAGATGTGGGACGATTTGTGTCTAGCAGGCAGGAGCTGTCCCTTTTTGTGCACTGCTTTCACGACGGCGGCGTCGCCACCAATGCACACTCCCCTTATCCATACGTATACGTATGCACCTACTACTTGGAAGCCGGTCCAGATCTTTGCCTGACCCGGCCTTTCCAGACCCATCTCATCTCACCGCCGGGAATCTCTCTTCGCTCGCGATGTTCATAGATGAGTCTTGCTGAATGAATGCGACACAGGCACGTCGAGACATCGCACAAGTACATTTCGATGCCAGAAGATAGCCGAGCCTGAGCCGGGTGCGTTTGCTACAATACATGGTTCCAAGTCTATCAATACAGGTCACATTCGCCAATTCTAATCCTACATCGCATCCCATCTCGCGTATCAAAGCATGCAGTCGTCAGCGTCGTGACGACTTCGCCCCCCAAAAAACCGAAGATCGAAATCTATCCTCACTCCTCACGTCCTCTGGCTCCTGGCCAAATCTGTGGTATTAAATCCAGTATGGTCGAACTCGAATGGTCTTTCTAGTATTATGCATGTATTGCGTCCAGCGCTGAGGAAGAATATGTTGCACTTTTGACGCCTACTTTCCTGAAGCGAAGCGGATAGGTGTTTCCTGTGGTGTTGTCGCAATTATCGCGACACGTTGCTGGAAGCGGCACTGGACTTGCTGGCTACTGAAAGTCGCCTGGCAGCCCGGCAGAGATCAGGCTCGCAAGGCACAAGCTTGTACTTCTCGATGATCTCTTCGTCGCTCAGGTAGGTGAGCTCACGATAAAACTGCTTCGGGCAGGGATCTGGGATTCGGTATGGTCGTCCCAAGAGCTCGACTGTCGCGATAGGTCTGCTGACAGACAGTCGTCTTGTAGATTCCCGCCTCATCGATTCTGGCCTGATTGGCATTCGCACTCCGAGCAAATCGCTAATGACTTCGTGTGTAGATTCAAGTTCGTCTGGTGTAGCTTGCCAGTGACCGGTAGAGCCTGGTTGATAAAGGAGAGACATGGTCGGCGTTATGTTTGAACGTGATGTGGAAAAAATTAAATGAATGTGTTTTGGTAAGACAAGCTTGGGTTGTTGCGCGAAATTACTGCAAGATGGAAACAGAGAATATTTCATTTGTGTTGCGAGATCTTACTCCTTTGCGCAGGGTACAGGTGGTACTTATTTCCTGGCAGCGCCGCCACGGATCTGCAACCCTGGATCTACCAGCCACGTGCGCGTCCACGGCTCAAACGCTTGGGGCGTTTCATCTTCTGTCTGGAGCAGAACTTTGAAGCATACGCCACACTCTACACCGCCAGGTACTCACAAACTTGGGCATCTTCTACCATATTTGCTTATACCACTGCTGTTATTAAATCTTGCGTTGCCACATGCTTTGTCTTGTGTGTGATATTGGCACTCGTTACTTCATGTTCGGGTATCAAGGTCTGACAGTTCCGGCCACCAGCCATGCATTATTACGGGGCTATAAACGGCGTGCTAAAAAAGGTGCGGCTCTCACTGTCGTCTGTCAGAAGCTACTGCACACGCCCCAACGGCAACGGAACTGCCAAGATAGTGCGAAAACCTGGTTCAACCCTGCATGATTCCAGTATCTCGGTCGTGGAAATGGCAGTGTTGCTCGAACGCCCAGAGTCAAGCCGTGTGGGCTTGAACCGACAGTTACAGTTCCAATATGTGCGATCTCATATCGCCATATCGAATGAAGTTGGTTCTGAGACGTTCCAGACACAGTAACCATTTCTGCATCTTGTGTGTAGTAGTCCCAAATGGAGACCGGCTGAGCATATGGGCATGCAAACATCGGATCATCTCGCCGGACCTCATTCGCCATGACTGGCCAAATATTGATGCTGAGTAGTATGGTCGTTGCCAGGACGAAGGCGTCGGAGGCAGACTCTGCTACCGGTAATGATGGTCGCGACTGCAGAAGTATACGACGGACGCCGAGTCATGCCTTCGGGACCCGAATCGATCACTTCCGTTTTCGGCACTACTCCTTTACAAAAGCCCAATCAGGCGAGTGCGTCCTCGCCCAACCTGCGGTCTTCACGGATGTTCTCTCGGCACGCCTGGACAAATGCAGGGAGCTGTGTGATTGCCGTTGCCACGACAGCTGCAACACCGGTGGCTGTCACTTTTCTTGACATGTTCGTTCAGACTGACTGCAGGCTCCTGAAGGTTGAGACGGGAAGGCGCGGCTCCAGCTGCCTTCGTGGCCAGGCGGCGTAATTGAAGGACTGCGAATACCGAAGACCACGTAACCCGTCCTTCTGCTCTAAACTATTGGCAAGCTGCGACGTCGCTCTGTTCTACCTCCGTCCGGCAATGAGCAGCTTCGGCACGACACTTCGCCTTTGCGAACGCTACGGCGCTCATGCCATAGCCTTGTGCCAATTCCAACGACTCGATATCTATGGCCCACCATGAATCGGCAATGGCTCCTCCCAGTTGATGCTTGACTGCCTCTCCGCATATGCTCGTTGGATCCTCATGTTTCTGTCTCAAACAATAAGGGATTCGGCGATGACCTCCGGGAACAGCTTTCTCAAGTCTCTGCGACTCCCGATGTTGAGCACTCCGTAGGTTTGTGCGGCCAAGTCACCCTCTTCGAGAGATGACACATATGTCAGAGCTGCTTCCAGCTTCTCGCCCTTCTCGAAGTAGGCCTCTTCGAGAAGGATGTTTCGATCATTTGCAACGCAAAGACCATAGACCAGGTCCACGATGTGGTCGTGTTGGTTGTCGCGGCTCTTGTCATAATAACCTCTCAGCTTCTCGATGTCGCAGTTCTTCGCAGCATCAAACCTGAAATTGTAAAAAGCGTCGGCAAGCTTGCGCAGAGGCGCGAGAGCTTGGTAGAAGCAATCTCTCGCAGCCTTTTTGAGCGCGGCGCGGTCCTGCCTGATGTTGGTATAGGTCCTGTCGACATTTTCACCCATCAATTCGCGAATGTCCTCTTCGTCCTCGCCGTAACCGCGACGATTGATCAAAGCCGAGTGTATCGCTGTGCCAACGACTCCGAGCGCGATCTCCGCCTTCTCAAATTCTTGGGCGAACTTGAGCAGCACCATATTCTGCAAGGCGGTCACAGCCTCTCTGGTGGCTTCTGGAGCAGTGCTGGCTTTCGAGTTATGGAGCACTGCCCGGAAGGACGGGAGGCTCATCTGGCTGGCGGCTCTCCTCGGGGTGTTCGGCCACCTCCAATGTGTCAGCGCAAGCTCATGTCTGTCAGTCCAGCAGGAGGACTTACTGTTCCTCGTTCAGAGTCTCGAGGAGCTTCCCATGCCGCTTGAACATAATTGCGTGAAGGCTGCAGATGTCCGCTTCCAATTTCTCGAGAGCGAGACATTCTGCATTGAACGTCTTAACCTCCTCGAACACTGCCTTCTTCTTCTCTTCCCTTTGTGACCGTTAGTACAGCAACTCGAAGTGACGACTGCCGAATACGCACTCTGTGTTGACACCGCGGCGTCGCTTCCCCTTCATCAAACTCGGCGGGCGAATTGCGCTTTCGCTTCCGTCTGAATCATGGGTGATGTTTGGCGGGTTCATGATGGGCAACCTCGCGATTCAGATCGGCTTGTCGATGTTGTTGCGTTTGTTCTGCAGAAACATTGGTCTGCAGGCGCTAACGCCAAGGCATCAATGCACAAACAACCCGTGCACGATTCGCTCAAGTGAAGCTTCACCTCAACAGTCACATGCACTTCCTTCCTTCGATAGAATGCAGTCGTACACCCACACTGCACTCCACTCATAGTTGTGACGGGAAGGGGTAGCTATGCACATGCCAACCCTGTCTCCATTCCAGACTGCACCTTCCGAAGCCGAGCGATTTCGTGGAAGGAACAGCGGAGGTAGGTGCTTCTGCTCTGCAGAACGTCGCACCTGCACCTACCGCATTTCCAAGAATCTCGACGTCACTCGGGGAGCGTCTGGAAGGAGACAGTGCCAACCCACAGACCGCTACCAGAACGCCATACACTTCACCTCAATACTCTCTCTAGCCTCACCATACCCAGCCTCTCCCAAATCCGGACTTCCATGCAAACAGCCAACTTCCTGATTCGCACCTTTACCCAAGCCAGCCGTATTGAACATCGTAACAAACAATACCTCATCACGCTGCATTTCCGAGATGTACCAGAATTGCAATCCCTTATCCTCACTTCCTATTTTGCTCAACGCCTCCGGCTTCACTTTCAACATAGCGAGCTCCTTCTTCCAATCACCTTTGTACCCCGGAACGCGATTCTCGTACGGCCAGAGGACGAAATCATCGTTCTTCTGGACTTCACTCCAAGGGATCAAAGCGAGCGGATCTCGAGTGACTGGTTTTAGGGGTCGCCAGATAGAATAAAAAGCATATCTTGGTCCCAACTTCACATTCTCATGATCGTTGTACAGGTTCTCGAATTCTGTTTGATCTCCTCGCTCCGTACTACTCAAGCCAAATTTCTCCTCGACCTCCTCCTCCGCTTTCAGAACACCATACCGTTCTGCAGCATCAGTGAGTTCTTTCTGCCAAAATCGCAGACTCTGTCGTCCGCCCATGGCCGTGGAGTCACAATGTGGAAGGCGTATCGGCTGTAAAGGAGCTACTTTATGCCAGCTTTCATTCTTCTGCATCCCTTTTTCTTCTTCCTTCGTCCAGGGAGCTTTCTTGAAGGGGATGTAGTCTTTGACGTTTTCGGGCGGGACTCCGCTACGGACGGCACTGTTCATGACGATGACTTCTTTGCAGCCTACGACGTCCTTTACTAGGGAGGCGATTTCCGGGTAGTAGCTTTCCTGTACGGAACAGGTATCTGAGATGTTGCCGGTGTTGAGGAAAGAGGAGTTGTGTTTGACTGCTGTGAAGCCGTGGGTGTTGAGGAAAGCTCGTTCTGGTGTGTAGTCTCCTCCGGAAAGTGTTTGAAAAACTTGGGATCGGAAATCTTTCAATGGGAAGGCAAGTGGGGTGGTCGCTTTAGGCATTGGCGGCACCATGTATGGCCTCATCGAAGGGTCGAGCGGTATTTCATCGTCGAGAATCGGCACTGTGAACGTCCCATGGATAGTTTCTGTCGAGACCATGATTATTAGCGCTTCAGTGACGTCCAACGACTGTAAAAGAGGGAAAGTCTGCCTGCAGATTTATATATATTGGCGCGGTTGATTGCGAAGGATGCGCCGCGTGGCATGCCGATCCTCGACTACCTGCAAGCTTTATGCAAACAAAGCTTCTTCCTCCGCTTCTTCACACGGCTAATGTGGTATATAGGGCACAAGTCTTCCCGTGCCAGTACGACAGCTCAGAAACAAGCTACGCTAAGTGATCCGCAGAGTTGTCTCGGCAGAGTCAATTTCTCAGCTCCTTCGCAACACCACCATCCTCCCACCTTTACTCTGGCCTTCTATGATTCCAAACTCATCCGTACCTCGAACTTCGACCAAGCCAGCACTTTGTAGATTCTCCACTTCAGCTTCATATCCACCCGACTCCCAGATCTCATCATGCACAGTCGCCACAACCAAACCGCCTGCCGGCTTCACCACTCTCACGAATTCGCCCAACACCTTCGGCCCTACATGGCCCTTCGTGAGAGTTCCAACACACATAACGATATCATACGTCCCATCCACAATCAGCAAAGGCTCATTCAGATCAGCAGTCGAGAGCTTCCGGTAAAAATCCTTGTCCCTCGCAACATCCAGCATTCCAGGTGTGAGATCCACGCCATCGACGACAAAACTTTGTCCAGTGAGTTGAGTAGAAGGGATTAGGCATTCGGCAACCATGCCCGTCCCGCATCCAGCGTCGAGGACCGCCAGTGCTGGTTTCTCCAATTGGTCCGAGGTTGCGGCAGAGGGAAGATGCCGAAGTAGTGCTTCTACTGCTCGGAGAGGAGAAGCATATGCGCCATCGGCGAGGTCTCGATCGTATGAAGCTGCCCATTCGGAGTATAGGTCGTGAGCGGCTGATGTGGAATCCAGTGCATAGGCCCGATTGAGGAATTCGCCTTTGGCGCCTGTCATTGAGTGGGTGAGATCTTGGTGTGACATGACTGTGGTTCGTTGTATTTATCTGCTTCCTGGAATCCCTGGGAGAGCTTGAGTGAGGGCTTCTTCAGTTTGGGAATTGGAGCTTGTGAGTATGAAGTATGTGTATGTTTTGTGAAGCCCTGATACCGAAAGTCAAAGCAAGCCACAGCAATGACCCCGCAACGTCATTCATATGAACGCTTGGCATGCATTAGTCTTAACAGTTCGTCACTTCCGGCCATACAGTGTGAGCAATTCGTTCGGCTCTGCGATTAAGAAGCGTTGCGCATGCGATCCTTTCGTCAACGAAGCAAGCACCCGGTCAAGCATAATTTCAGTTTTTGGATTGACCGTCTAACACCTAGTACAAATAGCATAATGCTAGACTAACGCAAGAGCCATTGCCTAGTGGCCCACCATCATTTGTGCTTTCTCATTATATCTATTGCCCACAGGCTTTGCTCTATTAACAATAGCCCGCATCTCATCCTTCTCCTCCTGCGTTAATTCAATACCACGAGAACTCCAGTTCTCCTCCAACCTGCTAGCCTTTGTCGTTCCTGCAATCGGAATCATGCCCTGCGCAATAACCCAAGCAAGAGCAATCTGAGGTAATGTGCAACCTTTCCGATCGGCAAGTTTCTTAATTTCTTCGACGATAGCCTTATTCTTATAGAAATTTTCTCCCTGGAATTTCGGAACTAATGAAAAGATTAGCGAAGCTGCGACGAACGATGATGGATTGCAAATCTGACATACCGGTGCGACGGAAATCGTCCTGGGCGAAATCGTCAGGAGATTTGTAGGGAAAATCATCGACGAGCCACCCATGTCCGAGGGGACTGTAAGCGACGTAGGCGATGCCTAGCTCTCTGGCAGTGTCGATCAAGCCATCAGTCTCGTGGAGAGTTTCAAATGCCGAGTATTCTGCTTGCACGGCGTCGATCCTGGCAACTAGTTTCTCTCGTCAGCGAAAAAGCTCCTAGCTATATGCTCGGTGTATATGTATACGTACTCGAATGCGCTTTACGAAGAGTCGCCGCCGAGCATTCTGAAAGGCCAATGTATTTCGTCTTGCCCGCTTCCCTGATCGCATTCAGCACAGTGATGGATTCTTGGAGAGGGGTTTCTGTATTACGAAGTGAGCAAAAGCATGGCATGCAGTTAGATAGCGGAATGACACGTACTAGGATCGATTCTGTGCAAGTAATACAGATCAGGCGTGAACCCGAGCCGTTCGATCGTGCCTTCGATGTATGTTTTGATGTGATGAGCAGAGTTAGTGACTGCCCCGTCCTCGAAACAGGCGAATCCACATTTTGAAGCGACTAACGGTTTGGATGCAATTAGCTCGCAGTTTTGCCTTGGCACTTTTCTCAATCAACTTACTAAAGACTTGATCACGGACGTTGTGTTTTCTGATGAACTCTCCCAAAAGCTTTTCGTTGATTCCAGCTTGATAAACAACCTACCACTCGATCGTCAGCTGTTTGTTTGCGCGGATCTCTCAATAGAGGCACAGAGTATGACAATGTGACTTACAGCCGTGTCCCAGAAAGTACAGCCCAGCTCGATGGCTTTGAGCAGTACTGGTTCAGCCTCTTCGAGGCTCAGATTGCTGCCCAGTCCAAAGCTCAATCCCATGGCGCCGAACCCCGGGATTGGAACTTGACGATCCGCGAAAGTTTGAGTTTTCGTCATATTTTCTTCGCGTCAGACAATTGAATTTCTGGTCGAAGGTCAAAAAGTCATAGAACTATCAAATAGCACAACAAGCCAGAGATGCTGTGAAGGAGATGGGCGCACGCGTTTATATGTGCGACCATATTCGACCCCAATGGCTGGGCTGGTGACGTCGGTCGTTCGAAGCGGGCGCGGACGCGGACGCTATGGCAGAAGGACATAGACACGGACTTAACGCGAACACATCGAGAAGGAGAGCAGCAAACGCCATTCTGATATTCTCACTTGGCGAATGAGTGGACAGACCTTTTCTCACTCTTCCAGATGGCTCATGCACACGTGCCAATGCCGGCACGGACCAACGCGGCCGCTCAGGATCCCGATCCCACCATGATGGATCTGCAAACTCCGATAAAGCCATGCCTGGACAACTTCGGATGCGGTCCTAGATGCCAAAGTCCGAATGAGAGAAGGCGATGAACAAGAGTACGCGACAGTGCAGTTCCCTTGGTTGTCATTCGAAACGTTGAGATATCTAGCCCGGGAATTTCTCGCCCGAGACTCAGAATACTGGCCGATTGTGGGACATTGCACACGACAATCTGGACCAGGCGGTGCTCGCGAATGTGGTTGCCGATGAGAGAGCGTATTGCATCAATGCTTGCATAGACCTCGGGGGATCGAAAGAACGCCTATCACCTCGACCTCTATGAGACCTGCACATCCATATCGTCCATCTGGAAAGCAGGACCCGCATCAGCAGCGGCCTCAGCGCCCATTTCGTGATCTGTGTCATAGCCAATCTCGTTCTCATTCTCAACGCGTTAAGCTTCTGGGCGAACACCCTTCCGCACTTTGGTAATCTTGATCTCCTTCGAGTCGAGTTCTGGGGCGTGAGGTATTGCTGAATTCATTGGCACAGCAACCAGCCAGCCCAGCTTGATTTCTTGTGAGGTGGCCGCGACTCGAGACTTGTTGGGGAAATTCCAAATAATGAAGTGTTGTTGTAGTCCGTCAATCACCTGTGTTGCAGCAGCATAGCCGCTTGGGGGAAAGGTCATTTCGAGCTGATGGTGGTCAGTGATGAAGAGATGGCGCAAGGAAATCGTGCAGACCAAGTAGATGGCATTTTCTTCGTCCTGCATACGCCTCTCCGAGTCGGTAAACAGCTTCTTTGCCCATGCGGGCGCGCTCTCGTCCAATCCTGGACACTGGTGCTGTTGCGGGTCGGCCATATGTGCTCGGTTTGCGACAATGGTGCTGGAGATGTGTGCGTCGTGCTGGTTGTGCAGTGACTGACTTCAGCAAGAAATCATGCAACGCATGCACGCCGAGTCTGCTCATGCGCAGGCGTTGGCTGTTTGCCTGTTTGTTTGCCTGATGGCGCAGAATCTGGCAGAAATCGCGATTTTGACCCAGTCTCGCCGACATTCGAAAGCGCACTCGAGTACAGGAGTTATCACTGCCATTTCGCCGGACTGGTGCATTGGGAAAGCCGGTTCCATCACGAGCCATTTCTGCGCTGATTCTCCATACCTGCAACCTACCACGTCGGGTCCGTTCTTGTTCGACTGAAGTGCATCCGGGCAAGACGGAACGCGTCCTCTCTGACGCCAGTCTTCGTGTCCTCTACTGGGACTTTGCTGGCGGCCTTGTGTCGGCTCCAAACCATGCTCGCGAACAACATGTGCTCATCTGTACGAGAGTCTTGACAGGCCTCGAAGGCACACCGTTGCGCAGTCCAGTTTCATGTTGAGATGCGCGTGATGTCAATGTGTAGAAGGAGTGAGAGAAGAGTGGGAAGGACAAGGCAGTGGTGAGGCTCGTCTCGAGGCAGACGCGCTCTAACAACACCACCTCTGCTCCTTGTTATCGCCAGTTCGTGCCAGCGGCTATTTCGCGAAACAAGGCTTATTTCATGTCGTGCCGTTTCATGCGGACACGAAAACAGCCTTATATGAAACAAGGCCTATTTCATAGAATAAGGCCTTTTCTGTGCTATGCAATGCAAAGCGAAGGTTATATACCTAAACGAGGTAGAGGCATTCGCGCGGTCGTACTATTGTATTTCGCTCGGCTATTATATATAACGCAGAGATTCCGGAATTTCGAGGATTCTAACTGCGTTTTCCTAATATCGAGTAGACTCTCCTAGACAAGAGATAGCAGAGACAGCAGAGATAACATCGTCGTTGTCGAAGTATAATAGAGCAGAGTCTAATTATCGCAATGCACGCAGTTGCCGTACGTACACGGATAGAGGCGGAGGGTAAGCGCTAAACAGTTGCCGGCCGGAAAGCGACGATTACACGAATATAGAAAGGGCCTTAAAACATAAATAAGGCCTTACTTATGTACGCTAAGCACGACATTAAATAAGGCCTATTTGATAGCGCTGGCGACACGAACAAGGCCTTATCCGCGGAATAGGCCTTAGCACGAGCTGGCGCAAACATCCTGCCACTCATCCCAACTCTTCCACACAGAGCACAGTAGAGAACGACGCGCATCCAGGGCGGAAAGTACAACAGACGCCCGTAGCAGGCATGAATCAGGAACGGGAAAGAGCAGGGCGAAGTGGCTCCGACGGCGTGGCATGTGGGTTCGCAATGATGTAGCTGCGTCGTACGCTTCAACACCTTGTGTCACGACCAGACGCGTTCAGAGGAAGGTATAGGTCCGACACCTCTCCTACACACTGATTTACTTCATCTCGACTCTCTTCTCAAGCCACTTGCTCAAGCTCAAGCTTATTCTCGAAGATGCACTCCTCCACGTTCCTCATCGTACTCGCAGCTTCCCTCGCGTCTGCTCGTCCAGCAACTCCAAATCTCACCGATTTCTACCTCGTCACTACGACCTCCCGCGACCCGGTCTCGAACTCCTCACTTCTGCCTAATGTGAATGCCACGTCACTCTTTGACGCCGATGGCGACAGCAGCGACCTGTACCAGCTGCGCCTGATCGGCCCAGGATATGGCAGTCTTCCCAGGTTCAACTTGGTAGACAACGCGTTGCATACCACCTCGTACGGCCCTCATGGCAATGGCGAATACGACTACGAGAGCACCGAAGTGGAGACAGGCGAGGACCTGGCCTTTGATCCTACGCCGGAGGACGGCAGCAACTTGAGCCTGAAGGAGGGATACCTGTTGGCCGTAGATGGAGAGTGCACGGGGTGGACTGTTTGTCCTGGTGCACGTCAGCAAGCTGTAGTAAGTTAGCGCGCATGTGCTGGTAAAGTGAAGAAGCCATAGAGCTTGCGTGCTGACTTTGACCTGCGCACACAGATTTCGTGGAAGGGAAATGATTCGGGCTGTGAGACGCGCTTCATTCAGGCCGTGGCTAGTGCTCCATACTAGAACTGCAAAGATAAATGGTACTAGGACTTATCCTGTTGTGCATCATAATGAAGACCACCGCCCGTACTGCTACTTCACTCACGAATGTGTTTCAGGTTCACTTATCTCCTGTTCAAACGAACAACAATCACTTTCACGCTTGACTCGTCTGTCAGAGCAAGTGAGGACTCATTTCCGGCTTCAAGTCTGCCGAGCGCGAGCACAAAACCCACCATCATTCCGCTCGCAACCTGCTCTGTTACAACAACTTGTCATCCCCACCTCCAGATCCCGTCCGCACGATGGTAACTCACAAGCCTCTCCCCACACCATCTCCGGAGAAGGAAGATGAGCTCTTCGTATCAGACACGGACGACGCCAATGTCGAAGCCCGCACATCGGAGCCACCGCGCAATCTGAAGCAACCACTCAAACTGCTCAAGAAAGCGCCCAAGCGAAGCTACGATTTTTCTTATGCCACATATCTGGAAGAAGGCTTGTCGATCACATCGGCCGCATATGATCCCCGACTGGTCAAGCTCAAAGAGGCGCTCGCGCAGATTGGCCTCGATGTCACAGAGCTTATCCCTGAGGGAGATCTGGTGAAAGCGGTATTTGCCCATCTGTTACGCACCGCAGCCGCGCTCAAAATTGCACCTTCGAAGCGTAAGCGACATATCTGCTTAGTGGGCGATTCCGGAGCTGGGAAGAGCTCCATCATCAATTGCATCCTCGGAATACCTGAACTGGCGTTGGTTTTGGGGCTGGCAAAAAGTGTCACGATGGTAGCAACCTCTTACGAGTCCGCGTTCCCATGGCAGACGAAGCGATTCGCTGCGCGCATCGTCCTCCTCTCCCATCGTGAGATTCGGGCGAAGTTGCGAGGTCTGTGCGCAGATTATTTCAGTTACCAGCTGGAGCTAGTAGAAGTCCGAAAAGTGGCTCAAGCGAGAGCGGTGAAGACACTGGACGTGGAAGACAATGAGGGCGATGCCTCAAAAGCTGAGCAGCCTTCTGAAGTTCGGGAAACTAAACGCGAAGCTGCCCAATCTGCATTCGAGGTCTTCCGCTCCCTGTTTCGCAAACGTGAGAAGGAATTCGGAAATGATGAGCGCGGCAAGGAATTCCTGCGATTGGCCGATGGCAAGCTTGAGGAAACTGTCAATGAGTTCATGAAATGGTGCACTGATCTTCTACCGAAGGCCACGGAGCAACCAGCGAACAGCAACAGCAGGAAAAAGACGAACTCCGTCCAACTTGAGGCTGAGACCCAGGAAAAGCTGCACACGCAGCTTCAGATGTACGCCGAGTCCGAGCAGACCCTGTCCAAGACTCCAAATTCCTCCCTCTGGGCACTTGTCAGTAAGATCCACATAGGCATCCGCGACGTGCCTATTCTGGAACACGCGATCTTCGTAGACTGGCCAGGGGCTAGTGACAAAAACTCTCTGCGTGCGAAGGCTTCGAATCAACGTGTATCAGACTGCGATGAGATATGGATCGTCGGTCAAATCAGCCGTGTCACTACGAACAGGACCGTAGCTGACGCTTTGCACCGATATGCGGCGATCAAACCATGTGCGATTGTGTGTACTCACATAGACACTGTTGCAGACAACACCGAACACCTAGCACACTTGCAGGCACAGGGCTTCCAGGATTCCGCCTACACGAAAGAGTGTGCGCGGCGCGAAACGCTCGACACAACAATCCGTGCCCGGAAGGCAGATCTGAAAGAGCATGAAGAGGCGATCTCGAATGGCCAAATTGTTGTGATCGTTGAAGATGAAGAGTACCTGTGTGATGGCACAGAGGAGGAGTTGCAAATCGCCAGGAACAGAATCAACAGCGACAATGCGGCATTGAAGAAGTTGGAAAATGAGCTTGCCGAAGCCGATGCATCGATCATTAACCGTGGTTGGGATGTTCACGAATTATTCTTTCGCAGCATGTTGAAATCTGCGCTGGCGGAAATGGAACTGAATGCAAGCATGTTCTTCGTCTCGAATGAGCACTACATGGGCTGCAGAGGCGCGAAGTCCGTCAAAGGCAGTCTTCTCGAGCTGGGGCGCACTGGAATTCCGGAGCTGAGACGTCACATATTGAGAGCGACTGAGGCCGATGAAATGGCAGCGATGCAGGAGTACATTGCAAAAGTTGAGATATTTCTTCGCGGTCTTAACGTCGTTGCCAATCCCGAGCACGAAAAGGAGAACCGCAAGGTGCTCCTGACTATCAAAGAGGGCAAAGACAAGATCAGCGATCTGAAACACGGCGATTATATTGCGGCCTTGGAACACACTCTTGAACAAAGCTTCGAGCGTCCTGTTGTTAGACGAATGGATGATCTGGTCACAAACGCTACCGAGATCGCCGCCGGGAAGATCAATTGGCAGGCGTCGACACTCAAAGCCTTTATCGCCAACGCCGGCTTGCACAATACGCCAAAGGTCGGGCGACACAATTGGAATCGAGCATTCTTTGCCGATTTTATTAACAACATCCTTGCGAACTGGGATACATTCGTGAATGAGGAGGCCGACGCTTTCACCAAGCTTCAGGAAAAGTTGTTGGAGGAAATTCGAGGTGTTATCGCGAGTTCGAACGGGCGTCGCGCCGCCAAACAACTAGGCGACAAGACGGGCCAATTTCGTGAGTTGATCGAGGCCAAGATCGAAGAAGCAGAGCGTCTCTGCGAGAAAGCAAGGAGAGAGTATGCGATCAAGCTCATGTAGGTGCTCATCCCTCGGGCTGTGTTTCTGTGTACTGACATAATAGCAGGTCGATCAAGACCGAGGCAACGACGCCTGGAACGAAGCCTCAGAAAAGCTACATCGACAAGGCAATGGACCACGGCTACGATTCGTGCAAGCTCGTCAAAGGTAACATATTCCTCGGTCCATTTCTGTGACTGGTTTGCTGACGCTTATCAGGAAGAGGCTATCGCAGAAGCGTCATCAACACACTCAAGAGTTACGTAGCTAAGAGGAGCAAGAGTTCACCGTTCAGAAGCGTCGTGATCGATATCAAGACTGCAGTTGAGGAAGATGCTAACGCGCAGGTCGAGGTCCTGGTTGATGCAGTCGAAGGCATCTTCGACGACATCACAGGTTGGCTCGAAAGCGTTTTCGCGGAGCAGGCGGGCGATGCAGTTGCTCCAGTTGTTCGAAAGGGACTTCAAAAGTACCTTCCGGATGCTCTGCAGAGACACCAGGATATCAAGACGCGGCTGGACGAGATCATCAAGGAGTATCAGAACGCGACATAGGGCGAAGGGCCGTGGACATGGCATGGGATGAGTTGAGGTATTACGCGAGCAAAATGGGCAGTCGTTTTATCAACAGCATTGAGTATGAGCAGATCCAGGTAACATCCACTGTATCTAGTCTGAGATCCTGCATTCAGGCATCTTTGTCCTCGTTTGTTCTGTGTTTGATTGGCAAACACGTTTCCCAAGAGTATATCTACATGAGTTCACACTACACACTACAGCAGGTTGCTTGTGCAGCTGATGCTGCATAAGTGAATTGCATGTCACATGCGATTCACTTACCTCTTCCCGGTCCGCGCTTCCCGTCCAGGTGCGCGAGGTTTATATATTCTACCAAAACTTTCCACTTATCCCAGAAACTGCGAAACTCAAAACCGCAAAACTTCCAAAGCCGCAACAGTCGGACACAAGGATCAAAATGGTAAGCGGTTCATGCCAGTCTGCAGCAGTAGGTCGTGCTAACAACTGAACAGGAGAGCAGCAACAAATTCAAGTACCGCCGCGGCGACCCTTCGGGTCTCGAAAACCAGCTCCAGAGATTCGAGGCGCGCTTCGAGGAGCTATACCCAGATACCATGGCTGAGCTGGCAGAAGAGAAGAAGCGTCGTCGGGCTGAGCGCGCCGCGCTGAACCAAGGCAACCCCAACGCGACATCTGCCGAAGACGAAAAGGCTCCAGAAGACCGCCGCGACACACTCGACAAGTTGCGTCAGGAGTTCGCAAAACTCTGGGAGGAGGTGCTCCCAGAGATCAAGGTCAAGATGGCAGAGAAGCGGCGTAACAAAGCGGACTTCGTGTCTTCTGAAGAGAACTCACGAAGCTGAGATCGAGGAATTGGTGCTGAAGGGACATAACTCAATGCCGCGAGTTCAAGTCTTCTTGTCCCGCATGCGAGGAGAACTAGAGAGTACGCCGGAGGCCATCGTGGAGCACTATTTTGATTGAGAGGGTGCTAGAGACGAAGTCAACGAGGTCCACCGAACAAGCGAGCGGCATTACGGAGGTCCTTAGAGGTTGCGGCATAGCTCAACGAGAACATTGTGTAATGTGGCATTAACCTAGCGAATGGATGTTTGAGTCTCCTTCTAGGCTTATAACGAAACATTCCCTTTCTGATCTTGGCTTTGCCCTGATAAATTGTGGTACTGTCGTTCTCTAATGAATTCGCAACGCATTTCTGCCATATCGGTAGTCTAGCTGCTACCGCTGTTCCTCGACGTTGGTCAGAGCACATGTCTGTACAAAGCACCCTGTACCGTAGTAGAATTGGTCCATGACACAATTTACCGCAGTGTCAGTAATCTCTCTATGTAGAGCGATAGTGCTGTTCTCTCATAGTTCTCGGTGTGCCAGCATAACCCCGTCCAGATTGCTCTCCATCACTCGGACCGGTATAATAGCGATACATTGTGCTCGCATCCACAGGCTGTGTGAGTAGATCAATCGGCGTTGGCTGGCTGACATGGAAGAGACCTGTTCCAGAATCCAGGACATAATCCGATTCCGTTTGGGGATCATCGCTCACAGCAGCAGTCTCCGAATTGCTGGCACTTTCCATCATTGCAGCATTCCCCTGCATAATGGCAGAGATTGGAGGGAGTGAGACTGGAGAAGCTCTCCGCTGAGGGTAGCTCTCGTAGGCTTGACCAAATGACTGGGCAGGTGTGTTGTATTCCGCAGGTGTCGTTGCTGCACCTCCGGTCTGGTTCGAGGGCTCTGGATGCCTCTGAACGGCGTAGTTGTTCCCTGGGCGATCGATAGTGGCATTGCTGTATCGTGTGCCAGCGGAAGCAGAATATGAGTTATATCCGCTATCGTTCGTGCTTTGCAAGGTAGAACCCCCGAACGACGAATTCTCGACGCTAGTGAAGGACTGCCAGTGTTCGACAGGGTGAGCAGGCTCTCTTCTCTCGATATTTGTATAATGCTCATAATCACTAGTGGTGGGCCCGATCGCTCCATATTGAGATGACGACACTCTGAAGCGGTCCTCAACAGAATCTCTGACTGCAGTGTCTTCAGTCAACCCGTCTGGTGTGAACACAGGAGGCATTCCGTTAGGCGCCTGTAATCGGAGAGTTGGACGCGGTGATGGACGCCTACGCACGAGTGGCGGCGCACGGTGCATTGTAGAGAAGCGTTCCATCTCAGGCTCTCCAGCGTTATTCTCTGGGAGCTGTCCCGACTCCTGACGTCCTTCACATGAATATGGATGGCCTCTGTAACGCATCAAGATCTCGGAAGCATCAGGCCTAACTGTGGGAGAATAACACTCTGGCCATCCCGAGTTGTAATCCCAACCCTGCTGATGTGGGGGTCGAAGGTGCCATGCCTCATAACTGTTTCGTCGAACAGAGTTGGATCTCTGGACCAGCATTTCGTACATGTTGGCCTCTATTGTGCGCATCCGCCGCCTCAGATGCCTTGTCCCTGGTGGTAGCACGCGTTGGATTCGCTGTGAAGCTCGTCTCACTATGCGGCCCACTGCAGATCGGTTGTTTCTGTCTGCTTCTGTAATAAGCATAGGTGGTACATTGGGGCCGGCCTCCATTTGATTGCCGCGGCGACTCCTAATGCGTGTAGAGAGCCCCTCCATTATGCTCTCAAACGTGTGATCAGCGGGCCGACGAGGCTGGTTGCGCAGTCCAGTGTGCTCAGCGTCGTGGTACGAGATAGAAGCACTGCTCTCATGGCCCTCTTGATCGCGAGAACTTTGCTCTTGTTGTGACATTGTGACCTTAGTGTAGCCTGTTCTGACAGTGTAATTTAATACGATTCGAGAGGGCGTGAATAGCCAAAGAAATAGCGTATTTAGCAAAGAACGAGCGTGTTTAGGCGAATGGAGAGAATCAGTGCTTATCGCCAAATTTAAGCCACAAAGAAAGCTCTCAATCGCCATCGATCGATGAGAGAATCGGTCTTGGTAGGCACACACTTGCCCTCGAACATTTCCGAGCGTGCGAAGGCATCCGATAGGCATAGTTTTAAGCTTCTTGGCAATCCTTGGTATATACTAGTTGTGGGTTACGTGCGTCCCGGATTTGGCAAGGATGATTTGTAGCGTGCTTACTGAGAGTCGGCGTCTTACAGGTCCCACAAGGCACGCTTAGAGGTTGAAGGGGGTTGCCAGTGCCAGATCTCAATGTCGGATGGGCAAACCGGCCTGACCTCTCGAGGCGCAACGCACGGCTTGCATTCCATTCGAGGACTCCAAGTAGCATATCGATTGCGTTACCAGAGATGTACCCAGAGACTGTTGCGCACTCTTCGAAAAGCTTGTGCCGGCCTCCCGCTCTGCATCTTGACACTCAACGGCTTTGCTGCTGCATTGTGGCAGAGATACTGCGGGCTCAAGGCGCGGATCTCGTCCCATCTCGTAGTCGTCGAAATCTCTTGTCTGGTACCATAGGTGGCTGAGCCGATGAACCAATATCAGAAAGACAGCGTGTTATTGACAAAAAGTGAAATGTGGCCTCGTCCTTGAATTTCTGTTCGACTTGGGAAAATTACAGTTTCGTCCTCGACCTGACAGATTTCAGCAGCATCGGCGAGTATATGAACCACACGCAGGCCCGTGCTGCAACTCACTCGAATCGTCTCCAGACATCACACACCCTCGCTGCCGCTCAATAGCCCCACGGCTCTGACGACCATATCATCGCAATTCAGAAGAATCAGAGTTCTGGACCAGTAATCTCCAGCAGCAGCGCACTTTCTACGGCACCAGAACTCCAACTGGAATTCACGACAGTTCATCATGGCCAACGAGGGATTTTGGCACGGCAATGGGAGGAAACTCCCTTGCCCTCTGCTCATTGCTGAGGAGAAGCCCGAGAAGACATTCAACCCCTCATTGAGGGCGTTGGTAAAGAAATGCCTCCCACGCCCGGAACCGCCATCTCACACTTTCCGCCTGACGCAGAGCGACCAGATCGAGCTAAACCGGAAACGACGAGCGCAAGGTCTGCCAGAGTTCCCCATTTCGGAAGGGAAGGGAAAGGTGTCCACAAAAGTGGAAGCTCGGTTGAGAAAAACTTTGCAGGAAGTTACCAGCAAAGTGAACCTGTGGTCCAAGCGTCTGGACTGTTGCGACAGCAGAAAGACAACAGCAGCCGCACCGAGTCTTCCGCCACGGCCGGCGCTCAATGGACGGAGCATCAGTGTGGTGGATACCTCCGCCTACGTGGCCCAGAATGCAAGCGACTTGCAGTCAAGATTCGGCTGTGCTCTCCGTCGCAGCAATGCCTTCCGCCGAACGGGCAGTACTATCCGGCGTTCAGCGAGCATTCGGCGCAGACTTTCCGCGGCAAGCCGTGACGAAGTAAGAAGCTTGGAACTTCTCACACCAGCCGATCGCGACTTTGATCCGATGCAAAGCATTGCAGAAGACGGCGCAGAACAGACCGAAGACTCCGGAAAAGCCAGCGAAGACAGCTCAGTGGTCGCGAATGTGGCAGGCGAAGCTCACCTTCCCGTCC